AGTCGATCCGTTTTGATTGAATTTTTGGCGGTAAATGTATTCCTAAAATCCGAAATTATCGATACACTTCGATTGCAGTTTGATGCAAGATTAAGTCCGTGCGTGTGTTTCAGAGAAAGGGAAGGATGACACACTGCAGACCCCATACATGTCATAGAAAAATTGAATCTTTCCATGTCTACAATTACATACTCAACTCTACTGTTCGCATTCATCTGACTTGCTACACGTCATGTATGTTCCTCGACCAACGCCATTCCCAACTTTTGCAATTTACATGTACAATCATATCATGCTTTTCCACATCCATAAATTCTACCCTCGTCTTCCTTTCCCTTTTTGAAAAACAAGTCGAATCAGTAGCGTATCCATCATAATAAGAAGCCGGTGTACGCCCCCTCCCCCGTTTAAAGGCCAAGGAGGGGGCGGGTAGTGGGGGGGGGGGGGGGGGTGGAAACAGTTTGTAAAAGGGTCTTCCGCACGCCATACATTTTGCATACCCAATTTGAATGGATAAGTTTTTAACCCCTAAGTTATCAACTCCTGGATGCGCCACCGCCATTACATGTATGAGACATACCGAACGGATTTGGAAGTGTATTGCAATTAGTTGTCATTATTAGCTATTCACTTTGCTCTTTATCGATTTTCTCCGTACACTGACACGCACAGGCCCCTTGCCCGTGTTATCCAAATGGAAATCTAATGAAGATTTCCACTTCAGCCATTCTCGGTCGTGTAAAATATCTGAAAGGTTTTGAAGAAAAAAAATCGTAACTAATTTATCAACTTTGTGTAAAAATCAACAAAATGTCCTTTACTAATGGTGTGTAATTTAGCATAAGTTTAATTTCATATTTTAGATTTGTTCCTCATCTAATAGTTCCGTAAAAATTTACGACAGCGGACCTCTTAGTTTACCGAAAACCTACGATCCCCTTTTTTTCTTCTTTTAATGCTTTTTCCTTCAGTTTTGCACAGTTTAAAACATGCGCAGTTTTTCACTTCTTTACCAGTTTACACGTTAATGCCAATATATATTAACCTGTTTATACCACTACATTTTCCTTCAAAATAACTCTATGATCAAAACTGGTAAATGTAGGAAAGAAGCATGTTTACAACAAAAGGATTTAAGCATGTCAGCGCTTGACGCATATGTCGTTTTATGGGATCTAGACCAAATGATTTGTATGCGAGACACTGAGAAGCCAGACGAATAAAGGATACATTCGAACTGAAATATCACGTTCATTTGTGAAACCCAGTGAGCTTAAAAGTGCGCCAATATGGCCTGTTACATCCAATTTGTCTGCAGTTATTACCGGGTGATTACTTTTCTCCTACAGACCATCTCAAAACGAATTCCGCCATCGAAACCCAAGACCCACCAACATTTCTACGTCAATATATTTAGGTTACTTCAAATGAATTTTTATATATGACAAATAATTTTCAGGTATATAACCTTTCCGCCAACTAATCAGATTACTTTTTCATTATTTTCACCTAATACATTGAAGAAGAAAAACACGACTGTGTGGCATTTTGTATACGTCTCGTTTTAGAATGCCAATGTGAAGGTATATGTTTATTATTGATACAAAGTTATTTACATATTATTATTATTATTATTGTTATTACTATTGAATTGGCGAAGTACTGTGCTTGAACACAGGATATCGGAAAACAACAACATCAACATCATTTTTTTTTTACGAATCTCTTTACTCTCTATTTTCAATATTAATTTCACCAGAAAATTCTATGACATGAAATATCGACGTACGTAAACTGTTAGAAAGCATTCGTTTTCTTTTCAGCTCAATAGTTTGCGATTTCATTGTGTTTGTTTTTTAGCTGTGTACAATGCGATTTTATTTTTTTGAACGGATTGTAGTATAAAGTACTTGTTTCTTGAGTCTCTTCTACTAGAAAACTAATAATCAACTCATCTATATTACGTTCACCTGACCTATGAAATGATCTTTAGAATATGAATTGTCTTGAATGATGAAATTAATGTTCCTTGTAAAGAAATGACATGGCAATTATTCTCATTTCATTTCATGTTTGTATATCTTTGTATATATGTCTATAAGATAATGATGCTCACTCAATCAACAGACAGGCATAGCTGGATGAGAAATCTTTAGCATATCATTTTTTTAAACATTTTTCATTTTTTACAAAAGAACTTTAAAGAAAAAAATGGTTATGTAGAATAATAATTATGTCATACCAATTTGTTAAGTTTTTTTTCTTCTAGCTATGTGAGATTTTTTGTTATGGAGATTATCCATTTATTTGAATATTTGGAACACTTTTTGGTCCTTATTTCGACTTACATTAGAGATGAATCTTAATGAATTGAATCAAGAACAATGGGTATTGTGAAATAGGTTTTAGTGCCATTATTCCCTCGCCAATATTCTACTCGCCAATGAAGGCTTAACTATATAAAGCAGTTCATGGTCTGACAAAGCTATCATTCTTTAGGCATGGTATTTAGGCATGGTCATTCCAAAAGCGAACGGGGCTTTGTTTATTCGTACAGGCATTTAGTTGTGTACATTGATTGATCGGTGGTATGCCGATGGTCATAATATATATCTTACGAATGCCGAGCTAAAGACAATCATGTGTCGACATGTAGAGCTAGAAAGGTGTTAACATATACCCGTCACCAGAAATTAATGCCTTTTTGGCTCTCAGCAGATGAGATGGCTTTTTACAAAAGAATGCTTTATATTTTAATTCGCTCAGTGCAGTACATTCCTTCACGCTATATTTGGTACCCAATACAACATTACTCACCATCACAATCTTTAAACAATCTTTCAAACAAAAGCTTGGACGAAAACAAAAGACATATGATGCATCAATACACTGGTATCTGAAATGGAGTATTTCAGGAGGAGAGAGACAAAAGGAAATAAATGAGAAATAAGAAGACTACACAAATCTTTTTCTCTTCTCCTTTCCTAATATCTGGGGAAAAGGAAGGGTAGGAAAGGTTAAGAAGTCGTTGCCCTCATCCCTCCTCAATTAATACCGCGAACGCATATCCGACAGGTTTTTAAGATTTGGAATTGGTTCGTTCGTAATCGGCGCCATATTGCATTTCATTCAACGTATCGATGACCTGCGTCCACATCCCTTTTTTTACTTTCTTCCTTTTTTTCTTTCTTTCTCTCTTTCTTTTGCAATTCCCATATTAGTTTTCGTTTCTCGTATAGTATGACAGGTGTGCCCCTCAGCTTTAATTGTATATCAGTGTGTATCTCGGATTACAAATGCCTGGTAGTTGATATTATACGAGCTTAATCGGTTAGATGGGTACATGGTATTATTTTCTAGGTCGTACGGTAAGGGTGGGGGGGGGGGGCTATTTTTGTGTTCGTAATGTAATGGGTTGTCAGAATAAGAGGAAATTAAAACGAATGGTTAGCTTTCAATATTTATCAATTTAAAATACCATAATTCCATCGATTACCCGCAATGTATATTAGCCTGGTATCGTTTCCCGAGTGGTTAAATGTGGGAAGGGGAATAGTTTAGTAATTATGTTTAATGTTATTCGTAAGGTAATTGATTGTTGAAATAAGAGAAATCTTAAATGAATAGATAACTCTCAATCTATCTTGGATTGCAAATACATGATAGTTGATATTGTTTTCTCGGTCGAGGGATGGGGGGGGGGCTTGATAATTGTTGCTTGTTTTGTAATTGGTTGTCAGAATAAGTGAAACTTTAAGCTGATGGCTAACTCTCAAGACATATTTTAGTGCACTTAAATAAAAATGCTCTGTCATGAGGAGAAAACTGAAAAACATAAGCAAATAAAAGGAGATCCATCTAGATGAAGACACGGAAGGAAAGGAGGGAATTTAGATGAAAGAAATAGAATGAAGACGGGTGCAAATTAGAAAGAGAGGGGGAAAAGTATGTATAAAGGGGAAAATGAAGAACAAAACAAAAATTGAATATTGTGGAAATAAGACGCATTGTGCGTGATGTTATGGTACGCCTCAACTTTGGAGAGAAAGATGAAGACAGACACATGAAAGAAGAAGAAGAAGAAGAGAGAGAGAGAGAGAAAGAGAGAGGGGTGATGGAGAGAAAATTAGGTGGTGACAGAGAGAGAGAGAGAGAGAGAGAGAGAGAGAGAAAGTGGTGTAGAGAGACACTGATTGCGAATAGAAATGAATTGACGATAAAAGAGAAGTATGGAGAGGACAGAATGCTTGGTAGATTGACAATAATCAATAGCTAGCATAATGAGTGCTGGAACATGTAATGGTTTGAAGAAGTTCCTCTATATGACGGTAAATTATAGACGAGTATGCGTGGTTGCGAAAAATCAATCCAAACTTTTTTTGCAAAACAAGAAATCATCCGACGAGAACGTTTGAATCAATGAAATCGCACTTTCTTGCACGTATATAGACTGGCTGGCACACTTTTAAAAAAAAGAATGCTTTTTCATATAGGGCAAGAAAATGACCGGAAAAGGTAAACAGATGGATACAAAAAGTGTATGAAATCAAGGTAGTTATTGTTAATGTATATTCTGGCCATAAAGGGCAAGAAAATTACATCAAATGGTATTAAACAGATATAGAATATGAATGTGTACACACAAAAAGGCAATGCAAATCAAACTTGAACAGTATGCACTTAATCGAACGGTTGATCTAATTGCATAATCTATACAACACAGGTTTACATGCAGAAGCGGACTGAGAATTGGGAGTTCCGCCGAAAAGCCGGTCAGTATTTTCTTCTTTAGTTAAGGGGGGGGTCAGTTTTTTATTAGAGGACCGGGTGATCAAACAACGTGTGCTGGTCACACGAATATCCCTGGCCGACGAACATCAGTCCCAGTCCGCCCCTTAGACAAATAGAAAAAGAATTTATCATGGCAATGACCTGTCGTCTGCTAAACCCCGCCCGTGACAGACACGCGATCGCGCACATCGCGCTCCATGCATACTCACCGAGCACGGACGTGGTGTCCCCTATGGGCGGCATGCTATCGGCGACGAGTTGCTGGAAGAGTATCATGGCGAGGAGGTTGCTAATTGCTAAGGTCACCTTCTCACCCGAGTCTGGATGAGACCAGAATGTGAGAGCCATCAACATGGTGAGGAGAACGGACGGGACGACGACCACCTTGGTGAAGAAAGCCGACTCTCCTGTGAAACGCAAGAATGTTTACTTAGGTTTAGATTTGAAATAATGATAAGCATTAATAGTATCGATTGTTTCTCTTATGAGAAGTGTCTTTAGACTTTGTTATGTACTTTCCCGTTCCGAATAATATCATAACTCGTCAAAGCGGCGCTTTTGACACTGTCTATCCACTCCAGGAAAATTATAATTAGATACGGAAGAAAAAGTTCTCAAAAGCTGACACTATTGTAATGTAATTACACGATTTTCCACATTTCCCCTAATTGGTAGAGATAAAGATTAGAGAGATTACCATATGATTTAATTTCCAGTCAAAGCTGCTTTTCTGGTTAGACCGAAAGAAATATCTCCAAAAGAGCAACACAACAGAGAGCCAGAGAGGATTAATCTCAAACCAGTAAATAAATCCATGTACATGTCGAACGAAATATATAAAAATAATAAGAATTAAAAAAAATATATATAAAGAAATCAGTTCTGTATCCTATTTTACTATTATGCATCTTTAGAACTCAAAATGAATGAACTTAAACTATCTTATAAAGTAGAGACGATATTTTTTTATTACATGAAATTTGGCACAGTATTTTTACAAAATGTATTTGCACGACCACGAAGTCGCAAGGTCGTCGATCGTTGTATGGCGTCTTCCCGTGATCCTACAGGGATTTAAACTCAAGTACTAAAGTTCAGATAAATATCAACACAGGAAGAAAATGCCCCTTGAGTAAGCAATAGGCGTGTCTGGAAATAATATGTCCATATCTTGCTTAGATAGCAAGCAACAATGGGCAGTTTGCACAGAGGGCAATGACGTCTCAACAAACAGGAAAATCACGCATTTCCCCTCATATTTCTTTATCTATGTATATTCCGGGTATATATAGTAGTTATTGGAACCACAGGATATGAGTGGTGACTGTGTTAAAACATTCTCTTAAAATTACATCACCAAAATACATATTACTTATCGGATAACTTTATGGTTACTCACTCTACGTTTCGAATTAAGTTCATATCATGCTGATTAACAATGATTATTAAATTTTACCATTTAATGTGTTCATAAATTAGTTTTGTATAATAAGACAAGTTAGTACAAAAATTAGTCCTTTTCAGACTATGTCAGAATGATGATCTCGCGAGGGTTGTTCTTTAATTATCTACGATATATTAACATTCGTCAAAATCAATGTGATATATTTATTTCATGTTAGATGAAGAAGTAAAAAGAACATACATTTCATTGGCGTCATCTAAACACTTTTTACTTCATTATAATCTGAAGAGAGATTTTCAGGTACAATACTTTTTACATTTCTCTATACGAAAGATGAACATGATTACACTGTATTTCCTCATATTAGTGACGGATGCAATAACCATACTTGGCCTCAGGCGCGTACGCAGGGGGGGGGTTTGGGGGGTTAAACCCCCCCCTTTGGAAATTTTTTGTGTGTAAACCCCCCTAAAAATAACCTAAACCCCCCCCCCCTTTTGAATTTTTTTTTTTTTTTTTTTTTTTTTTTTTTTTTAATTATTAAAAAAAAAAAAAAAAAAAAATTATTCCCATGGCCGACCTAAAAAAGGTGACCTTACCCCCCCCCAACGGAGCAAAATGTCAAATTTCCAAATTTCGAGACCAAAAAAAAAAAAAAAAGTGTCCTCTTACCCCCCCCCCCCCCCCCCCCCCCCCCCCCCCCCCCCCCCCCCCCCCCCCCCCCCCCCCCCCCCCCCCCCCCTTATTCAGCGGTCGGCTGAGTCGTTGCGATTTTTTTGGGACCAAAAAAAAAAAAAATGTGTCCTCTTAACCCCCCCCCCCCCCCCCCCCCCCCCGCTTATTCAGCGGCTGGCTGAGTCGTTGCGAAATTTTCGGACCGATTTATAAATGTTAAAACCCCCCCCTTGAAAAAATCCTGCGTACGCGCCTGCTTGGCCTTTAAGGTAAGGACGGGAATAACAGGAATAACATTCTTGAAACCTCTTGTTTGCATATTTTTCTTGACGACTTACTTCGGAGTCGGAGCGTGTATTTAATTTCCGTAAAGTTGTGCGGGCAGCAGACGTAGAACGGGCGAAGGTTTATGGCGGTAAACGATTCGAGCGTCCAAACTCCGTTTTTGGCAATATATCGTCTGAGGTGTCATCGGGGACTTCAAAGGTGTGTAATTCAACCTGTACGACAACAGTAGAGAAGAGTCAATTGAATTTGAGAGGGGGGGGGAGAAAGATTTCACCGTGAACATTTTGCAAATAAAACAGGAAAAGAAATCCAAGATGTAAGTGAGAAGAGTTTTTTATGAATCGCATACGGATTCGGAATTATTTGGCAACGAATGTAATCCATCTAACTTACACCATGAGTATACTGTACTCTTGAGGAGTTTCTGAGAGAGTTGTTGAGAATTGTTGGCTTTTGAAAAGCTCTTGTTGAGATTGATGAAATAGAATTGGTATTTTCTTTTCTTCAAATAGATATATGAAGTTTTAAAAAAGGTCATCGTGTCTACGGTAACCATAAACCAGTAATCACAAAAAGTGAAAAAAAAGGGAGGGAAAAAAAACGAGGTTAGGACTGAGTTAAAGACATATATAACGAATATAAGAGCAAAAGAGAGCGAGAAAGAGAGAAACTTTTATAAAAAGAGGGTTCACGGAAAGCGTTAGAATTGTATCAGTGTTCAGACATGTGTTTACATCTGCTATAGTATTCTGAAATTCCCCTTAAATACCAGTATGATATAAGTTTTATGCAAATTGATTGCTGTTTTATGGCATTTTATAAGCTGGACTGTATTCCAGCTTACAAAACGATAATCATGCTTTTTGACGAATGAATTCCCTCATTCAGGATCTCAGGCATTCAGATGACGATTTCTAGTAAGTACATTATAGTCCTTATCCTATCTTAACATGTCCTCCGTTCTTATCTTAACATGTCCACCAATGGATGAAAAATTAAATCCTTAAGAAACAAAAACAAAATATATTGGCGTTATAAGCCCCTTAAATATCGGGAAAAAACATTGCAAAATTTATAAATCAGATTTGTCACGGATGCATAATACCGCTGAGGAAACTACGGGGAGAGACACACGAACTACACATCCGTGCCCGTTCTTCCTCCTGAACCCATTTATGTCTCCTCTGTCTATGCGTATGTCTAGGACTCTCTTTCTTTCCCCTTCTTTCTTTCTCTTTCTAATGTCAACTCTTTCTTTTTCTCCCCTCTTCTCTCTCTCTCTCTCTCTGTCCGTACTATCGACGCTCGTTGTGGATGGTCGATAAAGTCCGTATTGAATCAGACATGTACTTGTCGAATGAGAGGGGCTTAAACCCCTTGCCCTTCACTCCCCTTCTCCAGACAGACAGACAGGTCGTCATCCATCTCCCCTAGTCAAACCATGGTCAGTAGAGCCTTAAAGGAGACATTAATGCATCCGGGTTAGGAGTCTCATGACCTCACTTCTTGGCTCCCCCAATACCCAACCCATTACATTAATGCTCTCAAGTTATGCTCAGACGCGATTCTTTCCGGCTATAGCACTTGAACTGAGCTTCAGATTACCTCACGCTTCCAACATTTGAATCATTCATATGGGGGCACTCTTAACCCAATCTTAACTCTATATCTTAGCACCCTCTTGTCAGGGCCAACCGGTATGTACATTTTGGGTCTAGGTCTTGAGCCTTTGATATGGTATCACTCTAAAGAAACCCTTCATTTAGGTCCTTTTTATGCCAAATAAGGATATCTTACATCTTCCGAGGGGGTCCTGAGACGATAGGGTTAATAGCAAAATGTTATCAACGGGTAGGCTTCAGGATAACATTTCTGATGGAGGTAGAGTTTCGTAAAGATGCAAAACGATGCTTGGAACCTGTCTTCATTTTTCTCCAGGACGGACGTGCTAAATTTTGTTTAAGTTTCAGGACAACATTTTTGGTGGAGATAAGATTTCGTTATGGAACAAAATGACACTTTTTTTTAGTTTTCCCTCAACGAAGAAAAATAAGCAACACAGGTGAAGATCACAAATTCTTAAGCTGATGATTTCCTTTCCAGCTACTTTCTAATGATTTTGTACGGATAGTGTCTGAAATTCAAAATGTTCCCGCTATAAAACATCATCATACCTGTGTCGAAGTAGACCCCTTGCGAACGTGTTATGTTTTTCAATTTCGGGAAGGAAAATGCTGCTTACACATTTCGTAAAACACAAAAAGAATATAATTGAGTTGCCAATTTGTGTTATGATATTTAACATTTTGAAAATTTAATAATAATAATATCTTTGCCGCATTTTACCAAACTATCCCAAGGTGTTTCGCTCATTTTTCCCCTTCTGATTTGATTCAGATCACCTTGGTATCAAGTGAAATTGCCCTGTCCCTTCGTTCAGCAGGATATAAAGACTTTGTAGATTGCAAAAGGGCACTTAAGTATGATAAAACGAATATCTTACCATCGTGACGTCAGCACTCCATGCTCCAAATGTGAGATCACAAAGCTGTATGTCGAAGGGAAAATAGCGAACGTCCACTTTACAGGTGCTCGTCAAGATTGCGGGAAAATGCCAGTCACAAGTTCCATTGTACAGACAGAGGACATACGTCTCTTGGTAGCTGATGAACTCCTTGCTACAACTATGAGAATAACAAGATAAAAGAACAAACAAAAACATTTCACAATTTTTTACCGTATTTTAAACTGAACAGAACAAAATGTACATTGTTTTTTTCCAGGAAATCTTGCAAAATTAATCGATACAATAGTATATAGTTTCATTAAAACTGTATAATAATGGTCACTAGTATGAATAATCAGTGTATGTATTTCACTTTTTTAATAAATTTCTCTAATAGCAAGGGGGGGCAGAAATAACAAAAGAATACTATAAGGGTCCTTTGTTAGCTAACACTTGCACACAAAACATCCATGAAATAGAAAACGTATTTTTGATAATATATATATATATATATATATATATATATATATATAAGATACATTAGTTTGAGCCCCAGTTGAATGAAATTCTTTATAATGGAAAGAGAAATTTCGTCATTACAGAAAGAAAGTCACGTTAGTAGAAAAGGGGGAATCAAACATTTCAATAATGTTCGCTTTCAAATCCCTTGCGTGATAAGGATGATACACAGTCGATGATTTGAAATCCATTTAAAATACCTTGAGTACACTGTAAGCCCTACCCTTTATAACATACTGGATCCGCCCCTTTTGACCTGCACGTATTTTATATGATAATCCTGTTTACATCGATGTTATGGTAGAGTATAAAGTCCATCAATATTCAATTTTACTTTCTATATCGTCTTAAAGTAGACTGTAATTCCAATCAGTCTGTCAATCTCTGCCATATTGAAGTGAAGGAGATCAAAAATTGTTTACCAAGTGATTTATGGTTGAGGAATAAGTTTTTCAACCCACTTTATTCAAATCTAGGTTAAGACCACTCAAGTCAGCACTCGGAGAGAGAAAAGAGAGCAACAAATCTTTATGAATTGAGCCAATTTCTGTCCAAGATAGAAACAAAGAAATGATGTCATCGACAATTTCCATCCCCTGTTTAGAAAGCAAACACAATAAGGTGTTGCATTTCTCGACAGGCAATTTAAAATGTCGAAGATTTGTTTTTTGTCAGCATAAGAGGAGGGTAGCGACATGATTTGAGGTTTTCTTGTAGCTTAACACGTTCGTGGGTATATTCTGTTGACAGACAATCTAAAGTGGAGCCTAGTAACCGGTCATTCTTGCATGCGAGCTGTCATAAATGCGTATCTTTTGTAGCGACGTTTAACAGCGCTTGGGTGAATCGCTTTTTAACAAGAAGTGCTGCAAGCGTTCGGTTGCATTAAATAAAAGTATGAAGCTGAGCACGGCTTGAAATGTCACTAGAATTGGGCCATGTTTTATATAATTTATCAAATGATCATGTAAAGGACGAAGTAATACTATTCTCTGGATAGGCACGGCAGGGATGCTGCAACAATATAGGTTCAATGACACATGTTATCATGGGATAGGGAATGTTCCACCGCAGGATAAGGGGATCAAGTGAGATAGTCGGCTTTGTGTTGCTATGAGGCAATGATCTTTTTTCTCACGCAGGGTTTCAGGTGACTCTGCCAGAAATAGATGTAATTCAATGCCATTCTGTCACATAATTGTTCACGTAATACAGCTCTCCTCAGTCTTTTGGAAACCTATCCCGAGGGGTATGTGTCTGAATCGAATGAGCATTCGAAATAATCATGACTTGTGTTTCATACATCGCGAGTGAAAAATGAAAACTAACTTAAGACGACCCAATAAGTTATACATTATAAGCGCAAAGCATTCCAAGTTTTCCGGCCTCGTGTATAAATCTGTTTGATGGATTGCTATTTCACAGGAATTCTAATGTTCATTAGTTTATATACATGTATAATGATTGATATTATCACTTTAATGGTAAATTTCCATAGGCAATTGTAAATATGCGTGTGTTTGTGCGTGTGTGCCTTATATAATTAGTACACGTCTTCAGAAAAATTACGAGTCACTGTAGAAGCCATAAAAAGTCGCATGATTTACATCAATCCAATATAGGTGCCATTGAAGACTTCTTGATTTACATTTATGTTTCTTTTTCGCTCTTTATCCGTAATTATATCATGACATGTACGAGGGGAATGAGAAGTTTAATAAAATATTATTATGTTATGGTATTCTGCACGGTCCATTTTGATTGATGACATAGTATCTAATCAAAAGTCTACTAAGGTTCAGAGAGAATGAGGAAGAGGAGAGGGAGGGAGAGAGGGGTGGGGGAAAAGAGAGAGAGAGAAAGAGAAAGAGAGGGAGAGAGAGAGAGAGAGGGAGAGAGAGGGAGAGAGAGAGAGGGAGAGAGAGAGAGAGTCGGTCGAAAAGGGAAAAAGGAATTAATTTATCGAAGAGGCGACACGGACTATCTGTTAAAGGCAAAACAAAGAAAAGACCCAGCATATTATGAGGATATAGATAAAGTAAAAACACACAGATAAACTAGATTGCCTTTGTCGACGGAAAGAGGGAATGGGAGAAAGAAAATGGAAAAGAAAGCGAGCGTAGAATCGTTTCAGAGAGTCAAGGAGAACGGACTGAGGAGAAAGAAAGATGAAGACAGAAGATGGTAATCTGTAAAAACGTCGCATTTCCGCAAGACTCCCGAATATCGAGACCGGCTTTCTACCATTTCCAAACTGCACATCCGTACTTTTTCTTTTTACACTATCTTCCTGTGATGCACGGGGCTAGATTTATCACATGATATTGAATATCAAGACCCCAGAGTTGGTGTGTAACAACTGTCACCTGGGGAATGCCGTTGTTTTCTGTCTATACATGGGATAAACGAATTCTCAAATTCTTCTTCTTTTTATCTCGGGGTCTCGTTTGATCAATCAACAGGATTTGGACCTACCTCGAGATGGATGTTGTACTCCAGGTAGATGTTGAAACAAGGTGATGTTGATGCAGGCGAGGGATGGCGATGGGGTCGTGGTGGTGTAGGTGGTGGTGGTGATGGGGATAGAGAGGTCAGTGAGAGAGTGCAACTAGAATTGCGATATCTTCCTATCCGTTCCGAGGAGAGGGGAAAGAGGAGTATCCACCAGGTGCCGATTTTGAAGGAAACCAAATGGACTCATTAGGCCCACACATCCGAAATACCATTTTGTAAAATCGTTTTTTTTTTTTTTTTTGGCTGCCATTTAAATAGATTAGAAACTCCAATAAAATGTTTGCTCATACCGATTGGGTGAGTAGCGTGCATGTACGAGTACGACATGTCGCTACTCTGCGTGCGATCGCACAGAAGCGAGGAGAAGAATCAGGTGACGAAAAAACAGTCATTGTACCGAAGATTCGATTTACACTGCAAGAATCGGTGAAATTTCGGCAGGTGCTGTGCAATCTCGTCCTGGTTCGAGTGCTATAAAAACCCAGCGCGTTCTTCCTAATTGATGCTCGACCACATCACGTTGTCACACGTTCCTAGTAAGATCGAAGTACGGCAATTTCGTTCATACTACGGCAATTCCGTTCGTAGTACATCCATCTTGTTTTAAGTACATTGTCACTCCGTCTAATTGCAGGACGGGGGAAATTTTGAACAGGCTCAAAGTTCTAAAGCACCCATTCCTTCCAAGCCAGTCCGAGCCCGTCCATGAAGTTCTTAAAAAGATAGTTGCTAATACGTTCACTCCGTTTGCACACAGTTTGAGCCCGTTTGGCAACATTTTCTAGAACGTAGTGAGAACTAGTTTGGTGTGATGGGGGCTTGACTTGAATGTCCTGATCTGCAAAGCGTGAAGCGTTGAAGTGGAACGGGAATGAGGAATGGTGAGAACGTGCTGGGTTTTTTAGCTCCCGAGCGAGGACGGGATTGCACACGCTCTGGGAGCACGTTCGAACGCACTAAAAACTAGATGAGGATTAGTTGTACTGTCTCTGAGCGGGGTTAAAAACTAGTGGCGAACTAGTAAGAATGGGTTTGGACGTATTGGTAACGAGGTACAACTAGTTAATAAAGGGTTTAAACTGACTACGGACTGGCTTGGACTGCCTGGAAATGGCAAATTTACCTGATCTGAACTTGATATGAACTGACTGTGGACGGGGTACAGACGAGATGAACGTATTAGATCGAACTAGGATCGTATTACAGACATTTTTGTACACATTCTACCCCGACCACAACTCGTTTTATGATTTTCTAGGACGCTTCCAGAACGTAGTGAGAACTAGTTTGATGTGATGGGGGCTTTAATAACACCACGGAGGTGGATTTTTCGATTTTGGTTTTGCGTCATGTTTGCCGGTAGTTGCTATGCAACAACGAAACATCTGATTGTGAGAAAAATCAACGAATTTTTGCTTGCAGTTTAAATACAGCTATTTTTGCATGCTCTAAAGCATTTTTGGGGGTATTTTGAAAGCATTTTAAAGATAAAATTTTGCTATTATAAGGGTCACTTACATGTATATTGATTTAGTCCAAAAAAATTAACAACTGTTTTAACTGATATAAAAGTGAGCGGGTGTTGGCCTAATCCCCATCACCGGGATATACGCCTGTGATTTTAAAATTTGGTCGCGTATGATTGTTACAGTGGGATTTTTCCCTTTAATGACTGGAATATGTAGAAAGTAGATAAAGTATAAGCCTTGTGTCTGTAATCCTTGATATCCTTATCATTTTCTCGATCGTTCTTTAGTCCGTCTATGATTTGGAGGAAGATGAATCAATTGATCGGAACCTATTATGGTTTTAAAGGCGGTCGGGTAATTATTGTGAAATTCATATGAAATGTTAAATATATATCTTCATGTTGTAAAAACATACTAATAAACATCTTTAAATTTGACAATTCAAAACCGGAACCAGGAAAAATGCATACGACACATATTGAAGAAAGAAAGTACGCAAGGCCAAGGAAAAAAAGGTCACCTCTACATTATATCTTTGTTGAATGTTGACCTCAATAAACTTGGAATTGTCCTTTTTACTTCCACACAAGACATGATTATGCCTCCTACCTGGACGCGATATAAGCAATCTGTTTAAATGATTGGATTCAATGTGTAGCCCCTAGCTAACTCTCACCCGATGCTATACAGTGTGTAATGAATAGCGATGGGCGGTGAAGCATGGAACAAGGATTTACAATTATTATGGATCATGTTTGGTAAGTTTAGTTTAACCGATTGATGTTTAGTGATTATAGGCGTCTTTTATAACTTTAAAACAAACTGTGCTTATATACCCTACGTTACTACATTCAGAGATATGTGAGCTTATATAGAGCACGAAGGCAGAAAAGAAGGTCACAGAGTGGTAGAGGCATATTAAATCGCCTGGAAATTTAATCCTGGCGCAACACCTAAACATGGGTGTAAGATTCATCTCTAACTTGAGCGACGTAGGATGCATCTAATATCTATTCGTTTCAACCTAATATCTACATCTGACACACTTTTTTTCTAGGACACCCTGTACGACACACCGCATTCGTATAATCCTCAAAGCAATGTCAATCGAAACGAAATATGTTTTAATCCTATTCACAAGCTTCTGTCATTGTGCCCAGGGCGCTACTCCTCGTCACTGATAATGCCAAAGGTTAACCCCATAAAAGGGTAGACTGATATTGGTATATACCCGAGCAAACGCATTTCACATGATGAAGATCTGCTAGCCCATCATGATTCGGTAGAAGAAGATGTGGTCGTACTACTTGTGGTTTAGGAAGGTCGACGTATCATCACGCATGGTTTGTACACGCGCTTATTTTTGGTACATCCCCTTCTCCTCGAAACTTAAAAATAAATTCCTGTTTGTACTGTTTTCAAATGATTAAATTTGGAGGGGTGTATCTGTTACCCCTTCTTCCTGAATATGAGATTAAATCTACTTTGTATCTTCGGTTTTCGATTAACTCAGTAATGGAACGAGCTTTGTGTGAATATATATTATATTCACAAGGTATTTGTTTAAAGCAACATTTTCACGTTCCGCAATTTTCACTGGTTCTTGAATAACTGTTTAAAAGAATGGGTTTTTTCTTTTTCTAATCATGAAATTATTTAGAGCCCCATCTTGCAATCACATTCTGTCAACATCTGTTCTCTACATTGACTTGCTCAAAACCCCTGCGGCTTTCCTAGAAAACATACTTTGAATACATAATCTTCATTACCAGCATTGGCTCGTTGAACCCTATCCAAACATGCATAATTCTGATTGAGAACGAAAAGCACGAATGCATTGGATAGTTATTCTTTTTCTCCTATATGCTAAATTACTTTTGCAATTAAATTTCTGTTACGAAAAAAATTGTACAACTATATTTTTACTTTATTATATAAATTAATCATTCTTTCAAGATATTTAGTGGCCTGACATCAATGTTTATACTAGAGATGTGTAATCAATTGTTTAAATTTACATGATGTTACTAAAATCATGGCATATATCAGTTGATATTAATATCATAACACAACTACAGAGTAAAGAAAATGGCACGTTGGTGCATCGCTTTTGTGATAATCGTAATATTTGTTTTTCTTGAATTATTTCTGTTTTTAGTTTAGAGACATGCAATTTCAAGATACAAATAGCAAAGTGAGCAGGGAAACCCATGAACTAAGTTCCAGTTAGGTAAGATGCAATGCAAGAAGACAATAATCATAGATGGTGAAGAAATATTCCCCCGTGAAAACAGCACAAGTGTGAGGGTGCCAAGAGCAAGAGCTTACCTTTGGTAAAGTGCAATGTCGGGTAACCACAGATCTGATGGGCGGAGAGCGAGAAGCTCTATACCATCATAGTCATCCGGATTCCAGGTGATAAACTCGTCTCTCCAGCTCTATAAAGGATGAGGATGGATTGAGAGAACAAAATGAGAGATGAATATATATATATATATATATATATATATATATATATATATATACACACAAATTAAGATGTTGCCTGAAACGATATTTAGGAAGAGAGGGTCTTGAGAAGGATTGTAGACACGGAGGAGGATGAAAGAAAATATAAGGTGCTTGCGTTAAACATAGGTTTAGGGAGGGGGGTAGGAAGCAAGGAGACAGAAAGAAGAAAATGTGCCAGAGACCAACAGTGGTACATGAAGGCAGTCGAGCGTGAAGTACATACCATAGAGGGGTACAAATACAATGTACAAATACAATTTATAAGAAAAGCGGAGGAAAAATATTTAAATAATGGCAAGCTATGAAGCCATTAGGCTATGGAAAGCATAAAACTAAAATGTAATCCTATGCAAAATAAAGAAAATGATTTGAACACAAAAAAAGAAAGAAACGAAAACCATTATAGATTAGCTACCCCTGAAACAACAGTACTAACGATTTCTAAACCACTCTAAGATACCAGATATTACATTATGTTCATGTGATCTACATTTCATATGGCAGACTTCTCAGAATTTGCAGATGTACTTTACTGACGCACGAATGTCCCATTGCAAACACGGGAAAAGTTCAACATGAGAAATACATGAAAGGTTACCATGAAAGAATGAATGTCGCTAGAGGTTGCTGGTGCAATCCATGTTTACAACTCAGTGCATATTTACATGGCGTAATGAAATGTATTTTTAGAGACATGCACTGATCAATTTCTTTAATGACAACGTAATTGCCAATAAATCAATCTACACGATGAATGTAAATATAGATTCATATGAACCTACACAACCAACAGAACTGCAGAAATTAAACCATTTATCAAATTTCATTTGACTTTTATCCACACAGGACATTGATAATCAACAAAGTTCTGAGTTCTACTAATGATACTCTAAGCGGTTGTACTTATATTTATAGACTCAACTACACCACAACAGACTTAGAAAAGAACACACTGCGACAAATCAAAGTATATCTCAAACTGGAAGTTCAGTTACCAAAGATACCGCGTTGATTTAATCACATAAACATTTCAGGAGACATGATGCGATACATGTAGACCACAATGCAAGTTTTTGTTTAGTTTTTGTTTTAGAAAGCGATGAGAGCACCAGGACATGGTTTTCTTTTAACGCAGCAAACTTCACATCTAAATAAGATCTTAAGGGTAAAAAAAGGGGTTCCATCGTGATGATCAGAAACCGGCTTTAGATACACATGTAATGGATACTCATTTGTATCATGATCGAAATCATGTAGGACATTGATACTAAGAACTTTACCGTGCTAATTTCAAAAATATGTTACTTGAGACAATGTTACTCGCAACAGTCATTATCCGCTTCTCCCCTGCAGACGCAGTGGTAAGTACATCCCTGGAGTAATATTGATACTGAAAAATTACCGTGCTACCTTTAAAATATGTTACTTAAGACACTCGCAACAGTCATAATATGTTTCATATGCGACATATCCGATGCGCCCCTGCAAACGCGGTGGTGATAAGTACATCCCTGGAGTAAAACTCAAAAGGAAAGTTCAATTGCCGTATTCCGATAGTGAGATAACTCTTATTTGTAATCCATACTCCGGACTCCCCTGGCAAGGCATCTACACATGGTGGGAGAAAGTACATAAATGCAGTATAAATAAAAACTGGCATACTGGCATGCAAGGCGAAAGCTGGACAAAACCCTTGATCAAAGAACAGGTGGACAAAATACCCCTTGGAAGAGGACCTCAGGGACGAGAAACCCTAGGACAATTTTCCCCCAGACAACGATCCCGGACACTTATCCTCTAAAATATTCACAAAAAGACACCTACAAAACTTCTTCGATGACAATAGAGGGGTATAGATATCCGGTGTAATAGTCTAAATAAGATCTAAATAATAAAATTGCTGCAGCCGAATAGTTTAAATCTCATTACAAAAATGTTTAGGCTTCTTAATCACGTTTATAAGGCATCAACCATAATCCCGAATTCACAATAAGACAAAAGCTATGTTGATAAACAAAACGAAGAAAATATTGAAAATTCAATTGAGTCAATCAAACTTCTGCTTTATAGTTTCATGATGAGCATGGGTTCCTGGAAATCCTATGAATGTTTTTATTTTGACAGGATGCAATTAGCCCAAGGACAGGGATATTAAAAAAGATTGTCTATCCAATCTATCCACCCAACCCAATATCTCTCTTTCCTCTCTCTCTCTCTCTCTCTCTCTCTCTCTCTCTCTCTCTCTCTCTCTCTCTCTCTCTCTCTGTCTCTCTCTCTCTCTCTCTCCCTCTGTCTCTCCCTCTGTCTCTCTCTGTCTCTCCTCCTCCAAACGGTAAATTTAAGATCGTTAAAAAGGTAAATTTCAGAACGTTAAAAAGGTAAATTTAAGAACGTTAATCAGTTCTTATGCAACACTTTGACATACCCCTCAGAAGATCTCATTCTTGGTACGCCCCCATTTGTTATTGACAAAGGCCGATGATGTGTAAACCCTACCGTGTTCTGGTCATCCTGGATCCCCTGTGACTGTATTCCTGCTAAAACCGTATAGGCAGAGCCTAAAATCAACTCGCACCCTACATCTAATCTGCCATCGAGTGGGCTAAAAGTGTTTGCAATTGTGTTCCTTGCGGGCTCAATGCATACAGTCATTACGTGACATACCTGGATTGAACTTGGACGAGCCTGTCTTTACCTTACGTTAATCGCTACGCGTGGGACCATTATTAGACAGCGCAAAGTGGTACATCTACTTACCCAGAATCCCCCAGTATTGTGGAAGTGTGTTATGCAGTGAAAAGAGAACTATATTTGTAATAATGGTCGTATTGTCGGTTGATGTATTCAGGGTATTCATAGGGATTGTGTATTTTCTTTTTACACAAGATTCTTTAAAAATACATTGAAATACTCATGTAATAACGCCTGGGCATCTTATTCTAGATCTTGTTTTTAATCCTTTCAATTTTCCATAATTTTTCTGCTCCATTGTAGGTTGTTTTTATCTTCAAAGCTTTTAATGAGACCAAATCAAAACAAAAGACAATATGTTTGGCCTACATATTCCATTCCAATCAACAATAACGAAGGAAATTTTCCTAAGAAACCCTTCTTCATGACAGAATGCCGACATCACATTCAATTCCGTCTTGAAAGATTCTATTTATATGAACAGATATCCGAACTTCAATAATCTAGGCATAGAATTGACGGATTGGAAAATAAATATTCGTCTGAATATAAACATATGTCTCAAAATGCAGCTCCTGCAAGTTATGTTATGTATTCCAGCTATCCAACATCAAACTTTCTCCCAATATGTCAAAAATCTTCATCTTTTTTGTTATCACTACCATGTCTTCTAAATCGACTCTGTGATGATCACGATTGTTTTTATACAATCTTTATGAATGAAACTCTCTAAGATTTCTTTGTTTACAATTCATGTGATCGCTGTTTATTTTACACACTAAAACTTAAACTTTCTCTCTGTCTTGGCATAATATTTCCACCTCGAAACGAATCTCTTTTCACTCATTACGCACGTGATAGTATCCGTGTGTCTTAGAAATCGTTGTTTGTTTTCATCGGATTTGTATATATCTTTCTCAAACAGAAACTGAGATTTAGATGATGATGGAAGTATATCTATGAGTGATCATAATCTAAGCTCAGATTGAAATACAAGACTTACGAGGCTTACGGAAGTTAGTGGCTTCAATGTCCCCAGTGTCACCACATAAAAGCGTTGAGTGCTCGGTGCATGCAGGTATTCAGGTATGTGGCGACGCTTGCTTCATTTATGAAACGGTTTTGCTCATTTTTAGTTTAGAGGTGCGAAAGTGATCGAAAGGAGGCATTAATGTTGCTTGGATAAGAAATAATAGATAAGCAATCATGATGCGAAGTGATGCAGTTATAAAGAAAATGAGAGGGGTGCCATAGTACACGTCTATGTCTTTTGAAAATCTTTCTGATTTGGTTCATTTCCTTAGTACTTGAACAATAGCGGATATATTCACATAAAACGAAATGCTGACGAATCCTCCTGAGAAATTTGTAGGCAATTTAAATGTTTGAATAGGTACGTTAGCACCAAAATGAGAGGGTGAAGTAAAATATGATGGATAAGGAGATGAAGAAAGATGAATTTGAAGATAAAAGGACTAAATGAGATAAAGAAAGGAGAGAGAGAGAGGGGATATTACTTGAGAGATGGAGAGAGAGAAATACAGAGATAGAGATAGGAAGAAAGATAAACATAGAGAAAGAAATCTAGGGAGAGAAAAGAGGTGGACGAAAGAGAGAAAAATAGTTAAAGAAATAGATAAATAGAGATACAGAAAGACAGACAAACAGACAGACAGAAAGAGAGAAACACATGGGGGCGAGAGAGAGAGAGAGAGAGAGAGAGAGAGAGAGAGAGAGAGAGAGAAATAGCGAAAGAGAGAGAGAGAAGGAGAGAGAGAGAGAGAGAGAGAGAGAGAGAGAGAGAGTTAGAGAGGGACAGAGACAGACAGACAGACAGAGGCAGATACAAGGAGAACGGGATGGGGGGAGGCAAGAGACTTGGGTCGCAGAGACTGGTCGGGACCAGAAGCAGCTGCATAATTATCTCTGTTATGACTAGGCACTTCGCTGACGTCATCGCAAAGACCGATCGGTCGCCATGTATACCTTGTAAAGATGAAACTTATCTTCATACCTGCTTGTCTAATGGCCCAGTCACACCAACGAGACCGATACCAGACCGAAAACGGCCCCAACAAACAAAACTCATTGCATCGAGTGGCAAAGAGTAGATCTTTTTAGAATCTGGGTGGTGTCGGTTTGGCGGTGTGACTGTGGCTTATGACTAGGCACTTCGAGTGACGTCATCTCAAAGAGCGATCGGTCGTCATGTATACATTGTAAAGATGAATCTTAT